CGGACATCATACATTGTGTGCCGATATTCGGACATCATACATTGTGTGCCAATATTCGGACATCATACATTGTGTACCGATATTCGGACATCATACATTGTGTGCCGATATTCGGACATCATACATTGTGTGTCGATATTCGGACATCATACATTGTGTACTGATATTCGGACATCATACATTGTGTNCTGTCTTTCTAGATTGACGTTCTATCTGTCTTTCTATATTGACGTTAACGTTCTATCTGTCTTTCTATATTGACGTTCTATCTGTCTTTCTATATTGACGTTAACGTTATATCTGTCTTTCTATATTGACGTTAACGTTCTATCTGTCTTTCTATATTGACCTTCTATCTGTCTTTCTAGATTGATGTTCTATCTGTCTTTCTAGATCGACGTTAATGTTCATACATTGTGTACTGACATTCAGACACCTTATATTGTCTGTTGACATTCAGTCACCTTTTATTGTCTGCTGACATTCAGACACCTTATATTGTCTAGTATGTTCCCGTTTTCAATCTCATCCATGGCACAAAAAAAGAAATTTTGAACCACATGCTTCTGTAAATAGGCTTGCTTTCTACACTTGAGAAGCATGATTGGTGCTCGTGAAAGGCTCGTGATAGGCTCGTGAATGTTCGGCGTTGTCACTCATTTGTAGGCGCTGTACCCCCCATCCCCCCACCGGCTCTGTTTCTCATTATCTGTCAGCTTTATGGCTCAATTGTCGACTCATTTCATTACTTCATACAACTTTCATGGTGATTCGCTTCAATCTGAGGTCACTGATCACGTGAAGGCCCGTCATACAAGAAATCGTTGTGACGTAAATGCTCTGTAGCGTTGAAATATTAATCACAATCGTATTTTAGCGGTCATTTTAACAAACCACTGCTGTTACTGCCCTAAATCAGACGATGACTTGTTTCCAGATGGCGCCTCATGTCGACCTTTCGCTGGAAGCTCCGCCCACATCGCTCGCACGTGAAAGGTTTAAAACCCGTATGTTTGCGCGTGTGTGTGATGAGGTTTGAGGACTGACTAAAGGCCTTTCCACACACAGAACATTTGTGGGGCTTTTCACCTGTCAAGGAAATAACCAGAGTAAGTAAATGATGAGAAATAAACATGTATATTTTCGAGGTGAATACCACCAGAATGCATTACATATGGGGTATGAACAACTACAATGTTAATACATATATATGTTTACATTTCTACTGAACATTTTCTTGGACACAACCAAGTGCGACTATCATATTTGTCTGTCTGTCAATTTGTTGTAATTATTTGAAAAAAGGTGTGCTAAATAAGTCGTCTTAATTAGTTTATAATCTGTGAACAAATGTCTGCCGGACATAATCTTATTTGTATTCTACTTGACGAAAATCAGTCAGACTGTTGCTGTTGTTCTTTGACATATCCATACATGAAACGTGTCATTATTTAAAATATTTATGTGAAAGTGTAGTTTTCGGATACCAGATTTAGAGGGTTGACTCTAACTCCATGGAAGGGTCATACAGTGTATTTTATGTATGTGCCTGTCCTGTAACGGAGGGAAGTACTTAATACACGCACTTTGCCTATACGGGAGAGATGTATTGTATACCTTACCTGTGTGTATATAGGTGTGTTTCTTCATATCCGACTTCTGATGGAACCGCTTGCCACAATACTGACAAGGGTATGGGCGGGTATCACTGTGGATGAGCATATGTGTGTTGAGGGTAGACGAGCGTTTGAATCCCTTTCCGCACTCCTTACAGCGGAACGTCCTATGGGACGAAAACTCCTCCTCGCTGTTACCAAAAAACTGAGAGTCTCGAACGTTCATGGAATGTGCAACGTGATCTCCGTCATCCCGAAATCCCTTGAATGAATCTGTCGAATCCGAAGGGGAGGGTAGTCCGAACGGCCCACAACAAAACTTGGTTCTCAAACAGTCACATCTCCCTTCCGAGACAAGGGTACATTCCCGATTACTTAATGTTTTTGTCTCTGTATCTTTGAATAGACTGTTGAATAAACTGTCGTCATTGGCCCCCCTGCTGATCATGTGATCAGATGTGATGTCCATCCAGCGAAGGTAATGTTGGAACAGCTCCTTGATTCTCTGCTGATGCACTGAGACGTGTAGGTCTGCAATGGGAAAATCGTTAGTATTAACACAGGTAGATTATTACACCGGAAATGTACAGGGTAGGCTGTGGCACGAAACGTATTTGTTAGATAGTGGCATGAGAAGATGAAAGAGGGAAAAAGAACATTATAGAATGTGACATGTATATGGTACACTTCGTCACGAGAATCTACATGGCAGGCTGTGACTTGGGAGAATTTCATGGTAGACTGTGACTTGGGAGAATGTACATGGCATGCTGTGACTTGGGAGAATGTACATGGCAGGCTGTGACTTGGGAGAATGTACATGACAGGCTGTGACTTGGGAGAATATACATAGCAGGCTGTGACTTGGGAGAATCTACATGGCAGGCTGTGACTTGGGATAATTTACATGGTAGGCTGTGACTTGGGAGAATCTACATGGCAGGCTGTGACTTGGGAGAATTTACATGGTAGACTTTGACTTGGGAGAATGTACATGGCATGCTGTGACTTGGGAGAATTTACATGGTAGACTGTGACTTGGGAGAATCTACATGGCAGGCTGTGACTTGGGAGAATTTACATGGTAGACTTTGACTTGGGAGAATGTACATGGCATGCTGTGACTTGGGAGAATTTACATGGTAGACTGTGACTTGGGAGAATCTACATGGCAGGCTGTGACTTGGGAGAATTTACATGGTAGACTTTGACTTGGGAGAATGTACATGGCATGCTGTGACTTGGGAGAATTTACATGGTAGACTGTGACTTGGGAGAATCTACATGGCAGGCTGTGACTTGGGAGAATTTACATGGTAGACTTTGACTTGGGAGAATGTACATGGTAGACTGTGACTTGGGAGAATGTACATGGTAGACTGTAACTTGGGAGAAGTTACATGGCAGGCTGTGACTTGGGAGAAGTTACATGGTGGCTGTGACTTGGGAGAATTTACATTGAAGACTGTGACGTGAGAGAATGTACATGGTAGACTGTGACTTGGGATAATGTACATGGTAGACTGTGACTTGGGAGAATTTACATGGCAGGCTGTGACTTGGGAGAATCTACATGGCAGGCTGTGACTTGGGAGAATTTACATGGTAGACTGTGACTTGGGAGAATGTACATGGTAGACTGTGACTTGGGAGAAGTTACATGGCAGGCTGTGACTTGGGAGAAGTTACATGGTGACTGTGACTTGGGAGAATTTACATTGTAGACTGTGACTTGGGAGAATGTACATTGAATACTGTGACGTGAGAGAATGTACATGGTAGACTGTGACTTGGGAGAATCTACATGGTAGACTGTGACTTGGGAGAATTAATCTACGTGGTAGACTGTGACTTGAATGTACATGGTCGACTGTGACTTGGGAGAGACTGTGACTTGGGAGAATATACATGGTAGACTGTGATTTGGGATAATCTACGTGGTAGACTGTGACTTGGGAGAATCTACATGGCATGCTGTGACTTGGGAGAATTTACATGGCAGACACTGTGACTTGGGAGAATGTACATGGCAGGTTGTGACTTGGGAGAATGTACATGGCAGGCTGTGACTTGGGAGAATTTATATGGTGACTGTGACTTGGGAGAATTTACATTTTAGACTGTGACTTGGAAGAATGTACATTGTAGACTGTGACTTGCGAAAATGTACATTGTAGACTGTGACTTGGGAGAATGTACATTGAAGACTGTGACTTGGGATAATCTACGTGGCATGCTGTGACTTTGGAGAATGTATATGGTAGACTGTGACTTGGGAGAATGTACATGGTAGACTGTGACTTGGGAGAATGTACATTGTAGACTGTGACTTTAGATAATCTACATGGTAGACTGTGACTTGGGAGAATCTACATGGTAAACTGTGACTTGGGAGAATCTACATGGTAGACTGTGACTTGGGAGAATGTACATTGTTCGTCTGTGACTTGGGAGAATGTACATGGTAGACTGTGACTTGGGAGAATGTACATTGTAGACTGTGACTTGGGAGAATCTACATGGTAGACTGTGACTTGGGAGAATCTACATGGTAGACTCTGTGACTTGGGAGAATGTACATGGTAGACTGTGACTAAGGAGAATATACATGGAAGACTGTGACTTGGGAGAATGTACATGGTGACTGTGACTTGGGAGAATGTACATGCTAGACTGTGACTTGGGAGAATCTACGTAGTAGACTGTGACTTGGGAGAATCTACGTGGCAGGCTGTGACTTGGGATAATCTACGTGGTAGACTGTGACTTGTGAAAATGTACATGGTAGACTGTGACTGCGGAGAATCTACGTGGTAGACTGTGACTTGGGAGAATATACATGGTAGACTGTGACTTGGGAGAATCTACGTGGCAGGCTGTGATTTGGGAGATTGTACATGGTAGACTGTGACTTGGGCGAATCTACGTGGCAGGCTGTGATTTGGGAGAATGTACATGGTAGACTGTGACTTGGGGGAATGTACGTGGTAGACTGTGACTTGGGAGAATCTACGTGGTAGACTGTGACTTGGGAGAATCTTCATGGTGACTGTGACTTGGGAGAATCTACGTGGTAGACTGTGACTTGGGAGAATCTTCATGGTGACTGTGACTTGGGAGAATCTACGTGGTAGACTGTGACTTGGGAGAATCTTCATGGTGACTGTGACTTGGGAGAATCTACATGGTAGACTGTGACTTGGGAGAATCTACGTGGTAGACTGTGATTTGGGAGAATCTACGTGATAGACTGTGATTTGGGAGAATCTACGTGGCATGCTGTGACTTGGGAGAATCTACGTGGTAGACTGTGACTTGGGAGAATCTACGTGGTAGACTGTGACTTGTGAAAATGTACATGGTAGACTGTGACTTGGGAGAATCTACGTGGTAGACTGTGATTTGGGAGAATATACATGGTAGACTGTACCACACAAGTAGTAACATGATTTTTTGAGAGAACGATTGATGATAGCTATTCGGAGACTCTCGGTATCGTACAAGTAGTAACATGATTTTTTG